ATGACCCGCAGCAGTCCCGAATCGGATCAGACATCGTGTTCAGGGAACAACCGTACCCAATCAAGCATGTACCATGCCTGAGCCGAACCAGTGGCCGTACCTGAATTGGGGTGGGCCTCATGAAAATGATTTCATCAAGCCCCAATGTCGTACCAAGGAATAATGATATCCAATCTGCAGTGAACCGTCCCAGTGCCAAACCAGGGTTTTCGCTATTTATGATCCCTCGCTGGATTTTACTTGGTTTTTCTGGTTATTACCCTTGTGAAAACCCGAGTCTTATTAGGGTTGCGCGGTCCGTATCTTGCTGGATTTCCACGACATACTGGGCGCGGGGCGGGGGCTTGGGTCGACACTTAATCCCTGTGGAACAGACTTTGGCTACGTCTGCGGCATGGTCAAAATTGGAACATCGATGGGGCGGGGGTAAATAAATAAATTTCGGCTAAAATTCATCAAGGATAGAATTTAATAAATTTTAATTAAATAATAAAATAATCATTCACTTCCTTTCCTTTTATTATTTTTAATTCTTTTACTTATGTTTTATTTCTTTATTAGATGAAATAGGCCTCACTTTCCCGTCAAAAGGTCGGCGCCGGAAGTGTCGCGCGAAGGGTTACTCGCATACCCTTGCCTCATGGCGGTCGGATTTGGAGACAGCCCCTGAACAAATAAAATAGGTAAGTGACAGGCGCGGTAAAAACAACCATCCATCTTATTAATTTCAAAGGTTAGTTTCTGCGGTCGATGCAAGAGCTTTCAGAGTCCCTCTGAGGTACCCTAACTTTTTCTGACAGTTATTTCGGGTGGCCGACCGGTCTGCGGTCGCCCGACAGTAAGCCCAAACCTCTTCTTGATGTTCCCGTCGAGATTCCGTCTCGTCGGTCACAGGAAATGCACAAGTTTCAAAGTAACTGTCTATATGCGTCGTCCGTGTCGACGCTTAGTTGTCTTGTGTTTAGGTCTTCCACGAATCCTGGGACCGAGAAGATGTTTTTTGCCCTTTCTGTATCTGTGTCGCTTAGGTATAAGGGAACGTTTTTCTGCCTCTTTCTTCGCTAAGATGGAAACGGTCCAGATGCACCACCTTGTCTGATGCAGAGTCTTCGTCTCGGCCTCCAGAGTATGAAAAGCCATTTCTTTCTCTTCCCTAGTGTCAAGCCTTTCACATTTCGGGTCTCTACTCTCTTCCTCTTCCTTGAGCTCTCTCGTATCTCGAACCGCCTCGATGGTGGCTCATCCGTCACCTTGGCCTTCCCCTTTCCCTTGGGATCGGATAGTGTCGACGTAGAGGTCGAAGGTCTTCTCAGTCTGAACAGCTTTAGCCTAGCCCTAACCACTGGATCTCTCCACTTAGATCCATCCAACTCGGCTATGATGTAGGCTCCCCAGTCAAGCGCCTCGACCACGTGATAGGGCCCCATCCATCTATTCGCCAGTTTTCCTGACCATGTCCTTTTTAAGGCTGCGCCGTAGAGAAGCACCATGTACCCCACACTTATCTTGTCTTTCCTAGTCCAGATGTTCTTATCCTATCTCTCTTTTCCTTTCTCTCTTTCTACAGCCAATCGATCTGCTGGCGTCATAAGATTATCCTCTAATCCGTAGGCTATCTGTCTCGTTCGAGCTGCCAGAAGCTCTTCTCGCGACATGTTGTCTGCCCAGTCAACTGTAGTCCAACTGTCAACGTGGAACTCTATGGGCAAAGGGCAATGCTTCCCGAGCCATAAGGTATAGGGAGGGCAACCCGTACTAGCCCGGACTGTTACGTTGTCCGCCCATATAGCGTATCGAAAGTATCATGGCCAGTCACTGTCTTTGCCTCTACACCACTTAGATAGGGACGCTATCAAGGATTGATGACCTCGTTCTACGGGTGAGTTGGACTGAGGGTGATAGGCAGTGGCTATCGAGACCCTAGCTCTTGCCTTCTTGAGCACATTCTGAACTTCATCTGGCAGGAACTTTGTTCCTCTATCCATTACAATCCTACTAACGCAACACATTATGAACTTCATCTGCCAGGAACTCTGCTCCGCTATCCATTACAATCCTACTAACACAACCATACCCAAACAAGTAATTTAGGACAAAGTTCTTGACTTCTTTAGCCGGCTTCGTTCTCATGGGCTTACCGTCCACAAACCCTGTTAAATCATCCCTAATGTTCACCACATAATTCATATTTCCTACCCCTTTTGGCATTTTCACTAAGTCAATATGTACCTTTTTCCCTGGTCTAATAGGATAGGAAGGGTGAAGAGGCTCTTTGTATCTCACAAGAGCCCTCTTCTGGCACGCCTCACATGTCATGCAGTATGTTTCGACGTCCTTGTACTGACCTTCCCACCAGTACATCCTACGCACCTTCTCATACGTACCCTTCACTCTATGTCCACCAACTACATTGTCATGGAGTTCTGCTATTATAGACTGTTTTTCCTCAGAATCACAGACCACGAGTAAAGGCATACCACATCCAGTAGGCCTTCGAAATAGATCTCCCGATCTAAGACAGAATCGAGTTGCCTGTCTCCTTATCTCTGGATCTAAACTCTCCTCACCCGATAGGTGCAATCCAATCGTTCGGTACTTCCCTTCATAGAGGTTAACTAGGAATCGATTTGCTTGTCTTGGCTCGGTCATGGTTAGTGTCGCCACGACTATCGGTCCTTCAGAGTCAATCGGAATCCGGGACAGTCCATCGACGACTACATTCTTAGTCCCGGAAATCCTCTAGTCGGATCCTAATTAGCCATCACGCAATAGTAGGATCTGTCCGACTGAAATCCTTCTGTAGAACTGAAGCAAGAGTTGTAGGATCTACTTGTAAGATAAACCGTCTCCCATATATGTAGTGTCTAAACGCGTCTAAACAGCGAAGAACTATTAACACCTCCTTCTTAAATTGATTGTAGTTACGCTCTGCGATATTAAGAGTTTGACTCTCGAATCTCAACGGTCTCCCCTTTCCTTCAGCGTCCTTTTGAGAAAACACTCCTTCGATCGAACACGGCCCAACATATGTAGATACTATGAAAGGTTTGTTCGTCTCATCATCGAAGAATGGTACCCCTAGGATACGTCCACCTTCCTTGAATTCCTCCGTAAGTGTAAACATGGCAGTTTCCTGCGGGGAATCCCAGTAGAATCGCTTGGTCTTACGAAGGAGAAGCCTCAGTGGTTCTGCCTTCTCCACGTACCCTCATATAAAGATCCGCCAGTATCCCACAACTCCCAAAAACTAACAAACCTCGATCACGCTATGCAGCGACGACGACCAGTTCAAGAGTTTATCTAGCTTCGTTGGATCTGCCCGACGTCCTCTCGCATCACAAATAAACCCAAGAATCTTAATCGAAGAAACTGCCCACCGGCTCTTCGTCCCACTGACCATCAAATTAGCGTCATCTAGCTAATCTAGAACCGCGTAAATATCCATCAAGTGCTGTTCTAAAACCTCCTGACACAAGGAGCGACCTTTATCTCATCCTTCTCCACCGGTCCTTTAATCGGGAAATCATCTAGAAAAACTTATACCTTGTCAGGAATGAAGTCTTTCAGAACCGCTACGATAGCTCTTCGGAATACCGTGACTCCGTTGGTCCATCTCATAGGTACCACCTTCATCTGAACTAATCCCATCGGTGTGTGCATGGCAGTGAGATGTTTATCCCTAGGATCTAACGGTATCTCGTCATAACTGGAAAATAGATCGCAGATAGAATAGATCGATCTACCGACAACTCCCTCCGCTAACAGATCTGTGTGTGTAATAGACCCGACATCACAAATGGTGACAACATTCACCTTTCGGAGATCTTGAATCCACCGGATCTTTCCGTTCGGTTTTAACCATCTATTTGCATAGGCGCTGTCTAATGGTTCGGCCACATGAGAGGTCATCTTCTCCTTTAAAAACGTGATTACTTCTTCTTTCTCCTTTTGAACGTACTTCCATTCTGCATCGTTCCGCGACGTATGCGGAATTGTGTAGATTCTAGCAGGTTGGGCGTACCTAGGATCAATCCTTCCTCTCTCTGCGTCGCTAAACGCTATCGCTTTGTCACAGGTCTTGAGAACTTCTAGCACGCACTTTTTCTCCTGCTTAGTCAAATTCCCATCTCCAATGTCCATCTCCACTATTCTCTCTTCCGTTAGGCGTTGCGGTTCTCTCCTCTTCCTTTCCTTTATCTCTCTCGCGATCTCTTCTTCAGATATCCCTTCTACCGTTGATCGTTCATGGGCATCGCAACCAGCTTTACCTTTTCGGCTACTCGCTTGTGTTTCTTTGGTCGCCCCCCGTAGGGGGCTGTGCCCTTAAAAAAGACACTGAAATCATCCCACCGAATTCTTCATCCTCACTCTTTGAATAAGAAGTATCATCCACACTCATACGATTCCCTAAGTCTTCGACTTCTACTATTCACCCTTCTTCCTCTGTAAGTAGGGTCTCGTACCTCTTCTCACGAAATCGCAGTGAGCGAGCAGAGAAAGAGGACGACTTGCGCACTCCATGTGCGCCAGCAGCCGCTAGAGTCGCCCTGTTCCTCGGATCTCGAGGCTCCACTGTCTCAATCATAATTCGGCCACCGTCAGGACGCTTAATGGAAAGCATCTGACTCTCGTTTGGTTGTTCTATCGTGACAATGTGAACATGGCTCAACCACGTCCGCCCCAGTAGTAGCTATGAGCTGCAGTCCTTGACCGCGAAGATAGGCATCAACATGCGCAACCCTTCGACCTCAATGGCTACCTTGTGACAGACTCCGAAAAATTTCTGCTTCCTTCCGTCAGCTGTCTCTATCTCAAATAGGAAGGACCTATGCAGATCCAACCCTAAACGTATGGCGAGCTCCTCGTCTATAATGATGGCTTCGCTGCCATTATCGATCACTCCCTGGAAAACTATATCATCGTTGAGGATAGTCTCAACTGTTCCACTTCCTTCGCTGTCATTATCGATCACTCCCTGGAAAGCAATCTCATCGTTGAGGATAGTCTCAACTGTTCCACTTCCTAGAATGTAGAACTTGTCAGAAGGCACGCCCTCCATACCTTCTAGCTATAGTGTCGCTGCGCACTCAGCTTTCGCGCTCACTCCCGACACTGCCACAATAGGCACTTTCGGCTTAGGAGCCACCTGGACCTCATCTCCCAGTGGGACGCGGGTGTTCCGCGTGATCATCTGGAGTTCGTCACGTGCTGGCCTAGATGCAGCCAAGTACTCGAGTATCGAGCACTGCATAGGTTGCCTAAGCACGCGCCTAAGAGACTCGACTGTATCGATATCATCTAAAAAACTCCTCATTGTGAACTTCTTTGCTCCGCGTTTGATGGGCGAAAGCGTGACCTCTTCCTCTTCGATCCTCTGACCATCCTTCTCAGGCATCACATAGTCAGTATCTGTCTTCCTCGAAGAAGACCCTCTCGCAGACTTGGTCGTCGCAACTCGAATAGGCGTGGTCGGCGACTCCTCATCGGAGGATAGTGTCATTCTCACACTCTGACTCTTCGCCGCTTCTTTTCCCTTACTCGGTCGCACACGCCTGGCCTCAACGCTGTCCTTCATCGAATGGAACATCGATACGTCGCCCAGGTCATCCGCCCACTTTACGTACTTACGCTCGTCAAGTACAACGAGTCCCTCGTCCATAACACGTCAGAGGTCTGGACAATCTCTCTTCACATGGTCATCAGACCTACAATAGATGCAGGGAGGTCTGTCCTCCATGCCCCTAGCAATCTGTCCTCTAGTAACTCGGGCGTCCTGATTTTGAGGACCAGGTGACTTAGGGTACCCAGGTGATTTAGGATAGTCAGGTGACCTAGGATACCCACTACGCTCGTAGTGTTTGCGAGAGTCATCCCGACGATCTCCTCCTCGTTCCATTCTCTCATACCGGGCACGGTACCTATCTCGGCCATCACCTTCTGAGTCCCTTCGGCCACAAGAATCATCTCGATCTCTCCGACTGAAGTTGCGAGGACTCCTGTATCCATCCGTGTTGCGGTCATATC